TGGAATGTATCCAGGTTGCAAAAGCCGATGAGAGATGGGTACTGCGTAAAATCTTCCTGACTCGGAGTCCGACCTGCCGAAAAAGCCGGAAAGTCTGGAGAGTCATTGTAGGAATCAATGCAGAGGTTGAGAGGAATCCGAATAGTCGGAGAATAGTCGGAGAATGGGTCAGAAGGTAGTGACAAGGCAAGGAACATGCATGGGACAGCATGGACCAAAGGGTAGGTCGGAAAAGGGTCCAAACAAAAGTTCAGAAAAGGGGTCGGGACCCGAAAAAGGTCCGAAGGCGAGGCAAAGAACAAGGGTAAGCAAGGCGATGTCGATTTGGAGTTATGAGCAATGGTTTAGGAAGGTATATCTGTAAAGAAAACCAATACTAGGTGGCCAACACATTGCGAACTTGAATCCATAGTATACCATCAAGGTAAATGACAGGCAAAGCATATTTCCGGAGGCCGACGGATTCCGATAGTATGGTGACTAGTGGTAAATTAGTCCATTCGGAATATCCGGAAATAATCGGGAGCCGAGCAAACCAGGGGCAGGACAAAACAAGGATCGAAGCAGGGCAAAACGAGTGGAATCTGAGTAAAACAGGATCAGCTTTGGCCATTAACTTATCTTTGCATCTGGAAATCAGAGTGATGTCTGAAAACACAAAGGGTTCTGTAAAAGATAAGTAATGTGATGCCGATGTGGAGTGATGAACAAATGAATAGATATAAGGACGGGTTTGCGAGTAGAAATCAGAATATACTGTTAAGAGCAGAAACTGACGGATGTCGGCAGACCGACGGGGACCGAACGGAAGGACTTGGCTTCAGCTTATGTGCTGCGCCCTCGCAAGTTACCGTCAGGTGTCCTTAAATTTCGGGCGGGCGAAAACTAGTCCTGTCAAGTAAACCTCTCGGTAAACTACCGATCGGAAACCGAAGGATAAGTTGAGGGTTGGGTTGAGGGGTCGGAGACCAAGAGTCGGAGGCTGAGAGAGTCAGAGACTGAGAGAGTCGGAGACCGAGAGAGTCAGAGACTGAGAGTCGGAGACTGAGACAGTCGGAGACTGAGACAGTCGGAGACTGAGACAGTCGGAGACTGAGACAGTCGGGGACTGAGAGTCGGAGACTGAGAGTGTCGGGGACTGAGAGTCGGAGACTGAGAGTGTCGGAGATTAGAGGTTGAAGTCGTAAATGTAGGTTGAATCGTAAATCGGATGGAGTCGGAATGTGGTGGTCGTGAATAGATAATGGAGTCGGAAATTAGAGGGATATATAAGTCGATCTAAGTCGATATTCTAAGTCGATCTAAGTCGATATTCTGATTGTCTAGTAGTTACATTACAGCAGGTTTATATATGGGTTATTGGCATCTAGAAACTACTAACTAAGGGAAGAGCGGAAAACGGCATTGACAAATAAGCTTGACTAGGAACCGGAAAGTTACGATAAGATCGGAAGCCGAGATTTAGCCGAGAGCGGAATTACGAGAAAAGGGAATAGTCCACGGACTACAGGTATATATGGGCATATGTGAAACATAGAGTAAAACGGATCATCATAATGAAAGGGGACGTATCAAAGCATAACCAGATGGTAGAGTATATTTTGACAGGGGCGTAAACGAGGTTTGATCGCCGTGAAGGTATACGTCAGTGTCGGTGTTCCGAAGGTTGCCGAAATGATGACTTGATCAATAACTTCGAACATTGCTAGACTGTAGTATTCTCGGAGACCATCGGGTTGCGACATGGGTTACGACACGGTCGTAACAAATATTTAGGTCTTACTTTCTAACAGCTTGTTCTCTTTTGAGAGGGGAAATAGCTTTCATGATAGGAATGATAGTTAAAATGTGACATTTGATGTCACATTATTTTTCTTGTAATTTTCCTAGCCCTCTAGAATATAATATGATATAATGAAATGTGTGAAAAGAGAGGGTTGCAAAATTGTCCCAATGATTGGTCAATTTTAAATATTCACTGTGACACCAATATCCATCTATATTATGTAATATTGGGTATATCAAAGCTAGTATGCTAAGGTATATGTGAGAATATTGTCACTATTTTAGAAATTTTATTTGGTAGGTTATAAAGTATTTACAATGTATTGAGAATTACCAAAACATTGGGACAGTTTTGGAAGCCACTGTAACTTGGAAAATCATATACAATAGGTTCTATTAATTGACTCTGATTTGTTTAGGATGTAACATGGAGAATTATTCCTCAAGGTTGGTGATTAACAATATAATAGTCTCAGAATATACCACTATTTAAAGATGAAGTTTTGTAGCAATATTGCTTTTATTAGTAAAAATTTGATATTACATATAATGATTACAGACAACCTCCTTATGTGTTGTGTGTTAAGTTCTGAACACTGATAAGTTCTGAAGAAGTCCCATGGAGGTTTCCAGTAACTATTCCAAACACTTTCTGGGAATGTCCCATGGAGTCCCCGGATAACAGTCTGGGGAGTTTCCAGGGATATTAGTACAAGACAGTGTATCAGAATAATTACCAGAGAGTAACTGCTGAGATGGATTTGGCTTCAGCTTATGTGCTGCACCCTTGTACACTCATTTGGGTGTCTATATTTTGAGCTGATGGAATGCATACAAGGAAGATGTAGATTCCAGAGTTCCTGTGGGAGTTCCAGGAATTGAGCATGCAGACAGACAAGAGGAGTTGAGACTGGATCAGGATGTATTCAGGGTGGAACTAGTTCAAGATTGAAACTGGATTGTAAGTACATGAGTATGGAAGACTCATATAGACTTTGAAATGTCATAATACCAAATCCGGTATTAATGAGGGGCAGAACTATTAAACATAAAATGAAACAAGTAAATACTAAACTGGGAATTCGGGATGGAATGGAATGGAAGTGGGGAACAAATCATGACAGGTCATTAGACTATAATGGGAATGGGACTCTGTTAGAGGGGTTCTCGGGAGTCCAGCCAGTGGTCCAGTGACTGGTTTGTGAGATACAGAATGTCGGGTGTATATAGGGTGGAGTCCAGAGTCTGGTGGGCTTTCCAGTTAACTGTAACTTGATGAGTAGGATATAGAGAGTTGGGTGCAGATAAGGTGGAGTCAAAGATTAAGAAGCATGTACAAAAATATGGGAGGTCCATGTTAAGAACTGAAAACTGACTAATGTCGGTGGGCCGACAGGGACTGATTGGAAGGACTTGGCTTCAGCTTATGTGCTGTGCCCTCGCAGTTGTCCGTCGGGTGTCCTTAAATTTCGGGTGGGCAAAGACTAGTCCTAACGAATACCTCTCGGTGAAACTACCGATCGGAAAATGAAGGATAAGTCGAGTGTCGGGCCAAGGGGTTGGAGGCCGAGAGTGGGTGAGTGCACGCAAAGGCGGATTAGTGGGGTTCTTAGTATGAGACTTCTGTAGGTGTAGGAGGGTATTCTGTGTCGATATTCTGATTGCCTAGTAGTTACATCTACAACGGGTTCATATACAAGTATTCGGCGTCTAGGAAATACTAACTAGGAGAAGAGTGGAAAACGTATTGACAAATAAGCTTGACTAGGAACGGGAAGGTTATGATTAGTTTGGAGGCCGTAGGATAACCGAGAGCAGAATTACAAGAAAAGGAATTAGTCTGAGGGTTACAGGTATATATAGACATATGTGAAACATAGAGTAGAGCGGATCATCATAATAAAAAGGGACGTATCAGAGTTTAACCAGATAGTACGAGTATATTTTGATGGGGCCGTAAACGGAGTTTGATCACTGCGAAGGTATACATCAGCATTGGAAAACTGACAGCTTCCGATGTGGGGACTTGAGTGATGACTTGAATCGTCGATAGGTGGCGATAACCTTGGGGACCATCAGGTTGCGACACAGTCGTAACAGTCCAGTCCAGAGTCCAGTCTGGGAAATGACCAAGAACATATAGAGATGTCAACTGTGAAAGGGCAGAGTCCGATGGATTCCGGGTCATAACAGAAGGTGTCTAGTCAGAGGGCAGACTGACAGAATGGGATGTGAGTCAAAGGGTACTTGAGGGATGAGGGTCAGGTTTTGGTAGATTCCGGATCTTGATACTGGTCCAGAAGATGGTTCAGAACCTAATATAATATCCAGAGGATACTCCGTGGAGTTCCCAGGAATGGGTCTTGACATTGTGCCCTCATACAAACTGTGAAGGTGCTCTGGTATTTCAAACAGAGTGGAAAGTATGATAAGAACTGAAGACAATCCTTAGCACACTCAACTGGGGGGCCAATATACTAAGAGTTGTAAGGTAGAGGGTCACAGCTTACTGACAATGCCTTAGAGGGTATTAGGGAGGGAGTAAGTAGACTGAAGACTAAATGGGGGTAATCTAAGTCAATATTAGAACTAAAGAGTAGTAGCATACATGGTAGAAACTTTATACAAAGGTGGAATGGATAAGCAGAGGGCTGATCAAGGAAGTGGGAAGCTGTGATGGGTCAAAGGAAGCACAGGAAAGGGTAGGAATCATACTAGAACTAAATCCAATGTGGTAAAAGCATCAAGGGTATGAGGTGGCAAAATATCATTTACAAGTAGAATGGATGATGGGAGAGCATTGGGATGGAGACGGGATGGAGATGGGATGGGATGATGAAGAAGGGAAACCATATTGACACAAGTGTCAGGGTGCTGTGGGCAGTGATACCATGGTCAGGGGTACTGATGGTGGGATGCCAGGTGGTGGAGAGAGTAGAACAAGGTTGTGGGGGGCCAAATGACTGGGATCCTAACACCTTGGGTTCAATTCCCAGTCTGGCCATTCATTTTCTACACTTTTAACAGGTTATGGGTCCCACTGTGTGCTATAGGGCATGGTTCCTGTGTGTAGAGTGAACAGCTATATTTGTGTATGGTATAGTGGACAAACCTGGACAAAAGAGCCAGAGAGGACCTATATCTGCATATAATATTGTTGAGTGCTAGCATTAAGGGAGTGTGTTAGATTGAGTAATGCTAGCAGTGTGTCCCAGGGTCAGGTGGTGTAGTGGTATCACCCTTGCTATATATGCAGAAGTCCTGGGTTCAATTCCCAGTCTAGCCATTCATTTTCTACACTTTTAACAGTATGTGATCCAAAGCCCAAAGACACAAACCCTATGGTCTACTGAAACAACTCCCTGTACCAGAGCTCCTGTGGAATTCAATTTCCATGGATTTCATTGAGCACCTCTGTGTTTCACAGTCATTCACTTCCATCCTAGTTGTTTTGTTGTTGACAGATTCTCCAAGCAGAGTATTTTTACATATACCAACACATGACACAATTACCTCTCAAGAACTTGCAAAACTATTGTCATCCATGTTTTCTCCAAAAATGGCATTCCATCTCATGTCATGTCAGATCAGGGCTCTGAATTTGTCTCACAATTCTTGAGGTCACTCAGAAGTCCCCTCACATGAAATTACATTTCACTTTGAGACACCACCCAGAAGGTGATGGACAGACTGAATGAGTTAACCAAACATTGGAACAATACTTATATATGTAGCTATTGCAATTATCAACAGGACAATTAGTCAGACCTCCTGCCTCTAGCTGAATTTTCCTACAATAATGCCCTGAATGCCACTACAGGTGTTTCCTCTTTCTTTGTGAACAAAGGCTACAACCCAACATTACAGTCTACCCAGAGCATGATCTAACCTCCATGCATGCTCAAGGGTTTGTCACTAATTTAGATGAACTTCACTACACCCTTCAGCAGTCCATACTCAAGCATATACCCAGATGTCAGCAGACAGACCATCAATGCCTATGGGCACCCAATTTCAAAGTCAGTGACCAAGTTTTTGTCAAAGCAGAGTTTTTCTGGACTACCTGGCCCACAAAAAAGCTTGGTGAAAAGTATCTTGGTCCATATGGGATTATTGTGCAAGCTGGCACACACTTGTTCACCCTTCATTTTCCTGATACCATGCATGTGGTTCACCTGGTCTTCTACATTTCCATACTAGAACCAGCCATCCCAAATATGATCCCTGAATGCATCCAACCTCCTCCCCCACCTGTCATTATTGACAGGGAGCCTGAATTTGAAATTGAAGCCATATTAGACTCCAAAGTCAATTACAGGTAATGTGCTTGCAAGCTACTCTACTTAGTTACATAAGTGGTCTGGCTATGAAGGTACAGATGAAGAAACATCCTGCATCCTAGCTACCAAACTTGGAAATGCATCTGAAGTCATTTTAGACTTTCATAATCTGGGTGAGCTGGGACCCCTTTTGACTCTTTAGTAGAACACCCACAGGTCCTCTGATACCCCCTGGGTTCATTTTCATTACTCCCCATCACCCTATGTCTCTCCTTGTTTTCTAGGTTATTTCAGCCCTCCAATTTTCAGTGACCTCATTATTACTTTAGTGTATGAGGCATCCTGATATCATTTTCTAGAAAGGTCTCAAAGGGTCTCAACCTAATGGCTTTGACCCTCTTAACCCTCTGGCACCCCACTATTGGTATCCCTGATCATGGTGTCACTGCCTGTGGCACCCTGACACCTGTCTTTTTGTAGATTACCCTTTTGGCCATTCCATCCCAATGCTTTCCCATCACCCACTCTACATGTAAATGTTATTTGCCACCTCATGACCTTTAGAATACTTGTGTTTTATCACATTTAGTTTTAGTTTGATCCTTGTTCTTTTCCCTGCTTGCCTTGATCCATCACAACTTCTCACTTCCTTGATCAGCCTTCCAATCATCCATTACACTTTTGTATAAAAATCCTATCATGTATGCTATAGTCCTTTAGTTCTAATACCAACTTATGTAGATTACCCTTCTTTGTTTTTTAAAGTCCCTTTCCTTTCTCCTAATTCTCTTGAAGACGTCATTGGCCAACCATGACTCTTACCTCCACAACCCTTAGCATTTTGGCCTTCTGGTTGAATCAGCTACATGTATGTAAGTATCATCTTCATACTACTTGCTCTTCTAAAAAAACCAGAGCATCCTAACAGTTCATGCAAGGGCACAACACATAAGTTGAGGCCAAGCTTTACTTGTTTTGTAGGACCAGACCTCCCAGTTCAGTATGAAATTCCCTTCAGCCTCCTGATATCACTTCCCCTTCATCTTTAGACCTTAGATCTTAACAGCAATACTGTTGTTAAAAAGAAACTGGTAGGATACATAGAAATGATATTGGAGGGAAATAATGTATTCCTTGAATAGTCTTGAATATATGTATTTATGGTAAACTTGAAGAATGTGGGCTTTGGATGATAATTGTAGTGGCCCTGTGCAGGAATGGTCCTAAGAGATCATTGGCCAAAAAATTAGAGTATAAGTACATATGATGGGGTCTTGGGACTTGAAACCATGATTGGACAGTGTTTCATTGTTCATATTATGTGGCATAACCTGTTAAGAATCAAGACTCTAAAAATAAACTTTGGATTTAGAGCATCATGGACAACAAATTCCAAGTGCTCATTGCCATTGCTGAGGGGGACCATTAGAGTACACACATCAACAGATAACCAACCCTGGTCAAGTGGTGCAGCTATTTTTAGTAACACAAAGGACCTGTTAAGATCTAAGGGGGGAATGGGGGAAATGCTCTAAGTCAGATGGCTGATGATGGGAAATGAGTTGATTGGGGGGTCGATGATAGAGATCATACTAGTTGGGAGGTCAACTCTATAACTGTAGTGGAGCTTGGCTTCAACTTATATGTTGCACCCTTGTACAAACTGTCAGGATGCTCCAGTATTTCAAACAGAGCAGATAGTACAATATGAGTAGGAGTCAACACTTAGCTTAGTTGACTGGAGGGCCAAATCACTAAGAGTTGAGAGGTAGAGGGCCATGGCTTGCTGAAGACCACTCTTTAAGAATATACCATTGAGAGGAGAAGGTGAAAAACTAAGAGGGGCTAATCTAAGTTGATATTTGAACTGAAGAGCTGTAGTGTACATGAGAGGAGCTTTATACTACATCGAGACAGATTGTCACAACTGTCACAGTCACAACATTGTCACAAAATATTCAAGGTAGCTTTTGACAACTCTTCAACACATTGATTTATCTTTGACAAAAATTCTGACTCAACATTCTATTTGACATCTTTGACACCCTCAAATTTATTCAACTTACATTCAACTTGTCTCATTTCAATGTCACATATGATTTCATTCATAGGTCATAGTTTAATCATAGTTTAACAAAGAAAGGCATAAAGGGCAATGAAAAGAGCAAAGGACCTCAGTCAGAAAATCTCTCCATTGTATATTAGTTATCTGTATTATTAATCTACCTCTTGATCTTATCTTACATGATATGTAGTTGAAACCCTTCGACATTAACATCTGTGAGCCTTCACAACTGGTATTAGCCTCTCACTTCATTGACATGGCGAATCTATACTTTGTCAAATGAGGCTTCTGTATTCAGTTTTGTAGAATATATTACAATTATTATTCAACTTCATCGAAGAAAATTCGATTCATGTCACAGATGAGCAGAAGGCCAATCAGAGAAGTGAGGTGTAAGATGAATCAGAGGGAAGTTATAACAAGGTGGGGAGCAATGGAAAGTAATGTATAGTACTAAGAAACAATATTAGGTGGCAAATATGTACATGGATACAGAAATGGAGGTACAGATGGAGCGGAGACAGAACAGGTCACTAGCACATTATTATCATGAATGTACAAGCTCAAATTTTGATAATATTCAATTTGACTTTCCTTTGACTTTCCAACTTGATTTCCAACTCAACTATTTTTCAAGATTCTTCAACTAATCTTCAACTTGTCTCAGTTTAACATCATTGATGATTTCATTCTGATATCATATTATCATCATAGGTAAATGATAAATAGTGTTATGACTGGAATTCCCGCCAGACTCTGTGCAGTAACTTATACGCACCCACACCCTATACGCACCCATTGTCAGTTTACTGGAATTCCCGCTGGACTCCTCCGTATGTCAGACTTGTCTACATTTGACTTCGTTATGTTGTGATTCAGTCACTGGAATACCCACCGGACTCCATCCCTGTCTATGTCTGACCTCATCCCACGCATCAGTCACCAGACCCTGCTCAGAAAACCCGTCACCCCTCTAACTGAGCCCCGTTCCCGTTTTAGTCAAATGACCTGTCATGATTTGGACTCCACTCCTGCTCCATTTCCTGTTATGGTTTATGATTTGTCACAATTCAGACTCCACTCCATTCTGTCCCATTCCTAACACCAAATTTGGTGTTTACTATTCTCATTTTATGTTTTGCTAGTTTCGTTTCATTATTACTGGATTTGGTATGTCATTCATTCCACAATCTATATAGTCTGGCAGATGTTATACATACAATCCAGTCAGAAAATCAGCTTAGATTCCCCCCAGTAATCTAATACATTTTCCACTCTAAACTACTTGAATTACACCACTCATGCTGGTTGGAGTCCATGGGCTCCAGCACATCTATGTATCTCTCTTATCTATCTCGACTCATGACCTCTCGACCCACGACCTCCGACCTATGACCCCTTGACCCACAAACCCTGCCCAGACTCCCTGGGATTCCCATCTGCCTGTCTGAAATTGGACAACACGACCTCGTGAGGGCGCAGCCTATAAGCTGAAGCCAAGTCCTACCAGATATTCTGCAGGTTTCTCTGGAAACCCACCATGTACGTACCCTAACAAATAGTATAAAAGGGCAATGATAGAAGTGAGGGAAGTCAGTCAGAAAACCTGTACAATAATTATATTGTTAACTGTATTATATAATCATCAAACTTTTCCGAGACCTTCTTCAACTTAATTATTTGTGAGCCTCTGTGTCCTATCTTTGCCTCATGCTTTATCAACAGGATGAATTAATACTTCGTCAAATGAGGCATCTGCACTTGATATTGTTGAATATTCTTCAATTGTTTATTCAACTTCATTGAGTGAAATCCAATTCATGTCAATTATTAACAAGCATCAGGGGTGCCACAATGGGTAATGACATGAGCAGGGGCTTCAATAATGAGATGATGAGTGTTTTCTAGTGAGAAACAAGTCACAGGGGTCCAAAACAGTGG